CTATCTGTGTTAATATTTTGGACATCACAGTGGAAAACCTTAATGTTCTCTTGGTTTCCATACCTACTAAATCTACAAGGCTTCACCCTGTTTGCTTTTCTTTTTTCAGTGTTTTGTTTCTTTTTGAAGTGTTTTGAGTAGAGTTGCCAAGTTTAGCAAATAAAAAATACAAGATATCTAGTTAAATTTGAATCTCAGATAAACAATGAATAAATGTTGATTATAAGTGTTTTAATACAACACTCAGGACATACTTACACTAAAAAATTATCTGTTGTTGTTCTAGAATTTGTATTTAACTGCGTGTGCCCTGTATTTTCTCTGGCAACCCTATTCAGAGGGAAATGTTGGTTCAGAACAGTAATCTCTTAATTAGAAGTAAAAACACTTCAGTTAACCTAGAAGCAATGTGGATTTTCATTAATGACATCTTTCTGTGTTTCAGAAGTGGCTCCCACGGAGCAAAAGAAAGTGACTGGCGTAACAGCAGGGCATCCAGCTTCCTCGGTGGTGGCAGGATTCTTCTCCTGGCTTCTTGCTTCCTTTATGTGACTGGCAGTGGGGAAAGCACTGCTTGTTTGGATACATGGGAATTTTCTTAATCTTCTGGATGCTGGTCGTGCTCCTCAGGTAATGGTCCAAGCACGGGCTCACATTGCTACCTCCCAAATTTGTGTCCACAGGGATTGTACAAAGCCAGAAAGAAACACAAAGTTGATTCTTCTCTGTGACCGATTAACGGCTTAATGATGATCTTTTCCAAATGACAGTGGTTTGCATCTATTCATAATCAGTAATCAGCATTCTGGATGGGTGGAAGGCCTTCAGATTCTAGCAGAAGTCCTGTGAGTCCTGTAAGGAGGATCCTAGTCCACAGATAGTGGAGCAGGGACGTTCCTGCAAACTCCTGACAGATCCCGAAATGAATTCAGTGTGCTTGGGACAATAGGATACCTCATCCTACCCAGCCCCCAACCCCAACACTTGATTTTTAGAATTCCCAGTCTTAATGCTATCTCGCCCACCTACTTTTAAAAATCTACTTCTCCTAAACACCTTATTTTCTCCTGCTGAAAGTTTCCAAACATGACTGTGAAACCATGCAGGTCTCAGGTGAAGAAGTTTTCACTTGTCTACATCAAAATAAGGGTGGAGGGGAAACATACACCTCATAAGCTTTTTGTTAAGCTAGTCTTACTCTGAAATTATAATCTTCCTCCTTTTATTTTCTTCCTTCTGTTTTGATGTTAAATTATCTTTGCTTTTATAAAAACGGTGATGCCAGTTCTGTTTGCTTTATTTTGTATTGTGAATGTCCTTACTTCAGGAAATAAATGCCACTCACTCTGTGCTGGTCTCCCTATGTTGTAGATGCATTACTACATGTATGTTTACGTTCAATGATCTAGGAAACCCAAAACATTTGGGAGCCATGATGTTCTATCTCAAGAGATGGTATATTAGTTTGCTAGGGCTGCCGTAACAATATGCCGCAAACAAGGTGGCTCAAACAATGGAAATATTCGCAGGCCTGATTTCTCCTGAGCCTTCTCTCTGTGGCTTGCAGGTGGCTACCTTCTCTCTGTGTCCTCATATGGTCTTTTTTTTTTTTCGAGACAGAGTCTTGCTTTGTTGCCCAGGCTAGAGTGAGTGCCATGGCGTCATCCTAGCTCACAGCAACCTCAATCTCCTGGGCTCAAGCAACCCTCCTGCCTTAGCCTCCCGAGTAGTTAGGACTACAGGCATGTGCCACCATGCCCAGCTAATTTTTTTTATATATATTAGTTGGCCAATTAATTTCTTTCTATTTATAGTAGAGACGGGGGTCTCGCTCTTGCTCAGGCTGGTTTCGAACTCCTGACCTCGAGCTATCTGCCCGCCTCGACCTCTCAGAGTGCTAGAATTACAGGCGTGAGCCATGGCACCATGCCCTCACATGGTCTTTACTCTGTGTACACATATCCCTGAGGTCTCTCGAGTGTCCAGATTTTCTCTTCTTATAAGGACACCAATCAGATTGAATTAGGACCCACCTGTATGCCTCCATTTTAACATAATCAGCTCTTTAAAGACCCTATCTCCAACTACAGTCACATTCTAAGGTACTGGGTATTCAGATTTCAACATATGAATATGAGGGACACAGTTCAGCACATAACAGATGATATTTTTGTCTAGAAAACATAGTTGTGCAGAGGAAAGAACAGAAGGACACGGAGTCACACAGACAGGATGTGAATCTGTGCTCTGCCCTTCCTTGGCCTTGTACCCTTGAGCAGGAACTAAGCACTCTGAGCTTCAGCACTTCTTTTTATGTTTAACTGGGATACTAGCTACTTCAGAGGGTTGTCAGATTAAAGCTCTTTTAACATAACTCATGATGCACAGTGAGTGCCTGAAGAATGTTTGTTCCCTGATCTGCACCTCTTTTTACCCCTTATCACTCAGAGAATTAGATAAAAAAGCTCAGCACACATTACAAAAGCCAGACACTAGTAAGTGTTCAAATTTAAAATATTAAGTGAGGGAAGTATTGGCCGAGAGACTGGTATAAAACTGCGGTGTTGAGTAGGGTTAATTTAGGAAGACAGCTTCCAGAAATTTTGAAAAACACATATAGCACATTGAAACTTAAGAGTTTTTGATGGGGAAGGATGACTGGAGAGAATCTACTCCCGGATTCCATAAAGCATGGGCCATGTCCCACTAGTGACATGAGTGATGCGTTTATGGGGTACACAGGCATTAAACAACGTGTACGCACACGGTGACAGCCATTCCTCTTTCAACCATTCTGATTATATCAAGGAGAAAGTCTCAGTTTGTGCTAGACTGTCTTTAGCACTTACTCTAACACTTAATAAGAACCCATTTTACCAAAAAAGATCTTTGTGTCAAGGTGCCAGTGTATCTAGATTATTTTAAATGTGTCTTATTTCCTTTTTATCTTTCTGATTATCTTCTGTTTATATTTTATTCCATTTATATTAGTGATATAAAGATTTTTAAGTAAATTTAAATTTTAGAAGGAAGTAAATTTAAAATATAAAAGTAGTAACGATACAGGTAGTACGTGATTATGGCAAGCAATCATAACAGTGGCCCAACAATGAGTGAAATTTAGGAAATTTAGGAAATATTGGGTTTATCCCAACTCTCTCTGGGGAAACTGAGGCTCAGAAAAAGGAAGATGCTCTTTTGCAAGATCACATAGCTAGCTATCATTAGGACTGAAACTCAGTTCTCTTCTGTTCCTCTTCATCTATGTGACTCTGCATCAGATAACAGATCCTAGACAAATCCTACAGTGTTAAAGTAAAGGTGGTTGGATATAAAATAATCAACAGACATTGTCATGTGGGTTATCAGGAAGACTGTGGTTCGAAAAGCTGGTGTGTGCTGCAGGTCAGGCACAGACTTGTTGTGTAGGGCCTCACGCGGGAGGCCTAAGCTCCTCAATTCCCCTGGGCACCACGAGAAGTCTCTGGGCCAGCCCCAAAGCTCGTCGTGGCAGAGATTCCTCTTGCAAACAAGCAAAGATGGCTTGAATCCCAGTTTTTCCACTTGGCAAAAAACCACCGTCCACGTCTCAACTCATCTCTTTACTCATCTGTAAAAATTTATAGGAATGATAATAGCTAACATCTACGGGGCACTTGTAATCCACCAAGCGCTTCGGACGCATCATCTCACGTGACCCTCACAACAACACCTGACGGCAGTTATTATCACCCCACGTGATGGGTGAGAGCATTTGCACTCTGGTTACAGCCCTTATCTGCATGTGAAGAGCTAACTAAACAAGTGATGGAGTCGACTTCAAACCCGGGCAGCTTCAGTCCTGAGTCTGGCCTTAAGCCCACCGCGATAGAAGGCGGGAAGCGTCAGCACCTCCTCGGCCCACACGGCATCGAGAGTCACTCGCGGCAGCCTGGCTTCCAGAACCTTCTCCATTGGGCCTTGCCTGGGACTACACAGCCCAGGATGCCCCCCCCCACCCCGAAACTGGCCAATAAGGATGAGAAGCTGGTCAAGCAAGACTAGAAGCTGGCCAATCAGGATGCACCGCCTGGCTATCACCGGCCACTCGCCCACCCGGCCGCCATAGCCTCGGGGACGGTTGGTCTGGTGGGTGGTGAGCGTTTCGCGGTTTTGAAGTTTCCTAATCTGGCCTGGGAGGGCGAGGACTGCTGATAGCTCCGGGCCGCCTGACGCTCCATCTTCAGCCACCCTGCTGAAGGGCGGCGGGCCTGCTGGCCTCTGGGGTCCCCACCGCGGCCCTGGGGCGCCCTGTTGGGTTATGAGGGGCTGTTGGCGGTGGTGGGTGGGGGCGGGCAGGACAGGTGGTTGACCGCAGGCCCGGTCACTCTGCGTGCGTTTTACATTGTCCCAGTCCGGTTTGGGAGGTGAGGACTGTGGAAACTTCTAGGTGCCGGGGCGCCATCTTCAGCCGCTGAGGGGCTGTTGGGCTATGGCCGCCGCGCTGCAGGGCCGCCAGCTCTGGGGCTCCTCCAGGGGGTCCGGTGGGCCGAGGAGGAGGACGAGGAGGGCTTGGCCTTTGGAATAGGAACTGCGGTGGCAATAAGGGTCCTCAGGGTGGAGGGCTTGAGCGGCGTCCTCTGGCTTGGGCCGTGCCTTTAGTGGCGTGGGTGCCTTTGGCATCCATCTTGCCCTCTGACCCCTGCTCCTGCGCCTGCGCCTGGAGCCTGGTCTGCGCTTGTCACCTCCCGGAGAAGTGACGTTTGCCCAGCGTCCCCTGCCCCTGTGCCATGGCCTGGCCGGGCTCCCCGGAGAGCGCTTGACCCAGGCCTGCCCTGTCTCCGGTCCCCTGGGAGCCAGACGCCGCTGGGCCCTCCGACCGCACCCTCCCGCCCACTGGGCACTCGAGGGCCTCGGTAGCCAGACCCCCGAGTGGGGAGGGTCCCTTGTCCAGGACATTAGTCTAATTGTTTAGTTTCTACGTCAATCCTGTTTTTTTTTTTAATATAGTTTTTATTTTTGTATGTTTTTTCCTCATTTCTAAAGTTCTTTAATCCCACCTCCTGCCTCTCTCCCCCTCTCCTTTTAAATCATCTTTCCTTTGCCCTCAGATTTGAATCTCTTGGTCTGGCATGCCCAAGAAAGAGCTGACACTCTGTTTTTAAGGTATAGGGGCTTGGAGGTAGATTCAAAGTGTATCTTATTCACAGATGTCTGGAAAACAAGATTATTTCTTTTGCAGTGGCTCTGAAGTGAGTGAGAGAATTTGTACGAATTCCTCTGGCTCAGGAAAACGCGGAGACAAGGATTGACTTAAAGGTTAGTTTGTTCGGACGCACAGCCTGACCCCTAACTGCCCACGTTTCACACTGCTGGAGTTGTGTTCACTGAGGCTTATTTTTTCAAGTCATTTTGAGAAATTTGAATGGCTTAAGGTTAGTTTTTGGTGAACCAGCTCTCCTTATATTTGTATTTGGGACAATTTGTTAAGTACATGTGCCATATATATATATGTAACATAGTAGTGTGTTAATTTATACCTTTCAGTTAACCAAAATTAAAATGTGTGTTATCCTTACTCCCAAAGCTAAAATAGCCATTTTGTGATCCTCTTAATGAATTATAATCAAATCTTATTTTGAGTTTTACTGTGCTCTTAAGCCATATATGGGCCCTGTCATTCAAGAATAAGTTAGAAATAGACACTGACTTACATAAACTTACAGAAGATTTTACATGATTGCTAAACTGAAAGATAAGTGCTAAGGCTTTCTGAAAAGGGGGCATCTTTATTTCCATTGCAAGTTCCATCTTTTGAATGTGGTTCAGTTTAAAAAGAAACTTCATCCTAAAAATTCTAGTTGGGGCTTAAATTTTAGTTGGAAAAATATAACAAATTGTTGCCTTCCTATGTTAGAATTCTAACTATGTATTTATAAAGTCTTATTTCAACAATTATTTCACTTCTGAAATAACATTTTCTTTTACAAATACTTAAAATTTAAGTATTTTTAAAGTAAAAATACTTTAAAAATACTTGAGAAGTATTTTTACTTCAAATACTTAGAAGTACTTCTCAAGTATTTTTAAAGTACAAATACTTTAAAAATACTTCTTATTTATACATTGTTTTTGTTTCTCTTTTAAAATCAGATGCTTAAGAATAATGTTACTGATCATAAACTAAATGTGGAAGCCATAATTAAAAACATTCACACAATTTCTTTGGAGTTGAAGAAGATGAAAGGTAAGTAATGAAGCACTAGTTTAAAATGTTTACGTGTTGTTATAAAATAAATAGCAGAGCCAATTTGTGCTTCTGCTAGGGTATAACTGAATTTTCCCACTAATTAGGATTTCTCTATTTCTTAAGAGATGTTTGCATTGCAATATGACCTAGATCTCTACAGATGAATTATGTTTGATCTGCGAGTTAGCAGACCTGAATTCCCATCTCTGACACTAATAAGCTCATCATGTTGTCTAGCTAACCTCTCTAAATTTACTTCCTTTCCTTCCCTTCAACACACCATTATAGTGCAGTTGTGTTACATTCTGCAGAATTTAGTGTCTTTAGCCATAAATTCTTCCTAAGCCTCTAAGGTTTATTACAAATTAAAAAGTGTAAATTTGATTCTGTGATTTAGGCTTCTTCATTTTAAACAGTTTTATAGAGTAGGCTCAGACATTATAGGTCATAATGTTTTGTCACTCACCTCACAGACGTATTCTTTTATCCTAGGCACCTAACATTTCTGTGATTGAATATTTTTAGGGATAATCTATCTCTGCCCAAACATTTCTTATTTTGGGGAACTTCTTATCTCACCAGTCAACTCATTCCATTTTAGACAATTCCTCCTTATAAACTAGCTGAAATCTGTCTTCCTATTCACCTGTTAGTCCTATTTCTAACCATGAAAACTACACTGAATATGTACTTATTCTTCTCATAACAACTCCTGAGTATTTAAAGGTAGCCTCTATATCTGTTGCGAGGCCTTCACCTATAAGTAACAAAATAGCAACTTAACACAGCTTAGGCAATATGGAATAATAACAAGAAGATGCAAGGTAGGGCAGCCCTAAAGTTAATTCATAGGTTTAAAGCTTTCATCAAGGACTTGGTTCTTTCCATCCTTTTGCTCTGTCTCATTTACTCTCTTTATCACTCCTCATGGTCATTATCTTCAGAGGTGGCCATAGGCAGACACTATATTTGCCTGTGTCTATAAGCCTTTTTTCAGATTTCTCCAGCACATTTGCCATTTCCTTTCATTGGCTAGATTTGCATCACATGCGGATGCCTACAGCAGCCATGGCCAAGGGGACTGGGACTACCAAAACCAGTTTGGACTGGTCAGAACTTGCTGCTGAAGCTGGGGAGAGGAATACCTCAGATGAAATCAAGTTGTGCCACCAAGAAGAAGAAAGGGAGTGACTGTTAATTAGGCACCAAATAGTGAGTGCCTATTATGCTTTTCCACATTCTCTCCCAGACTGATCTGTGGACCTTTCTGTCTCAAGAGCTGTCAACAGATGGCATGCAATAGAACACAGTCCACGTAGTTACCTCAGATAAGTTCAAGAAGTGCTTTATGCTATATATTTCTCTCACAAATTCACAGCGCATATTAACAAAGACTCTCAAGAGCCTGATGTAAAGAAATATGATTAGCTTTGCTTAATTCATCATCTCTCAAATCTAATCTCAACACTAAAGTGAAGACTCTTTCCAAAATGCAAATCTGCGGAAAACCCTCTTTGGCTCACAATTGTCTTCAGAATGAAGTCCAAACCTAGAATGGACTGTATATGACTTCTTGAGATCAGACCCCTGCCTCCAGCCCTTTAATCTTCCTTCTTCCCTGCACATTCTATGCTCCAGCCATACGGAACTATTTGCTCTCTTTTGCATCTAAGCCTTAACACATACATCTCTTTCTGAAATCCCATGGCTACACCCCACCTCCACCACACCAGGTTAACTGCTACTTATTAGTTAAGGTCACTTAACATTGGAAAACGTTTTTTGAGCCAGCATGTTATCCCTGCTACCGTTTCCTATGATTTAACACACTATTTTATAATTGCATATTTACTTACTTTTCCTATCCCTGGTCAACTCTAAGATCCTTGAGGGTATTCTAAACTTAACACAGTGCCTTGATGAAGTCTTGGAAAATGTTTATTAAATGAATAAATGGTTCTGGATGCTTGAACCCATTTAAAACAATTAGAGAAGTTTTAGATTCTTCCCACATTTGATGATTTAATTGTTCTACTTTGGGGAGTATTCCTTCATGAAGTAAAATATGAATAATAAATGTGATATGTATGTTTCAGAAGTTGTATGGGTAGGTCAGGCAGTTAGGATATAAGGGACCTGTCAAGCTAGACTAGGAGGATAGAATTCTGGTAGACATACAGGACCAACTGAACATTCCAGTTACCCTCACTTCCTCTGCCAAATAATAATATCAGCGGCTAACACAGCACTTACTATCATGCAGGCACTCTTCTAAGAGCTCTATATAAATGAACTCACTTAATTGTCATAACTCTATGAGGTAGTAACTATTACTATTGGCATTTACAGATATGAAAAGAGGGAGATTAACTTTCTCAAGATCAAGCAACTCTAGTCAGTGATAAGTCTGACATTTAAATTTAAGTGATTTTAAAGAGACAAAAATCCACAAGGTAAAGAGTTCCCAAGAAGAGAGAACAATAAAACAGAAAGCAAATGGAAGCAAATAGACAAGTCTGAACCATAAAGTCCAAAAATCTGAACCCTAACCTGGTGGAGTAAAGCCAACAAAAAGCCCATACGACTCAAGACATTGTGGCACCAGAATGCTCTGGCAAGGGTGGTGAAGTGGTGGTAAAGTGGGGCTAATAACAGGAGGACTAGTGAAATGTTTAAAAGGTTATAGATCCCTGAGGTCTCTTCTGCCCTCCACAGAGCTAGTATGCCTAACTCTTCTTGTGACAGAAGACTCAAGGTTAAAACAAGGCATCTCTGGCCTGGAGCTGCTAGCCACAAGTTGAGGGAGAGTACTGTACTGAGAACAGGAATATTAAAACCAGCTTACATACTGAATTACAAGACCTCTGCCTTTTTTTCCTCATGTGGCTACCAAAACACTGGCAGCCAGATTTATTACCCCCCAAGCAGATTTTTCTTTCAGGAATCTGACCAGCCTAAGAGAAAAAACCTAAAGATACTTATAGCAGAGGTTCTCCCAACAAAATAACTCAGCCACAGTATTGACTACCATAGGCATAGTGCTTCCAATTGTCTTTTTAGTTTCACAGTCTTAAATATGAACAAACAACTATGACACAACAAATATTTGAGGAATGCATATAATATTAAAAGAAGAAACAAACAAATGGATGCAATCAATCAGGAAGAAACAGAAATAAGGGAGATGAAAACTTCAAGAAATTACCATTAATATCCCCAGATATTAAAAAGAAGATGTTATATCCATGAAAAAGAAATAGGATAATGTAAAAAAATGTATTCAGAGAGCAAGAGGAAGCTCTTGGAAATTAAAAGTGTGATAGTAGAAATGAAAAACTCAAGGGAAGGCTTAAAAGATAAATTGGGTAAATGAAGAAATTACCCCTAGAAACAATAGATATGGAAAGTGTTGGATATGAGGAGATTACAAGATAAGTGAAGGAAGTACAACATGGAATAAATAAGATTGTTAGAAAAAGAGAACATAAACAATGAATGAGGAGGAATTCATTAAAGAAATTATCTGAGAAAATTTCCTAGATCTGATGGACAGGATTTTCTACAACAAATGAGCCAAATACAATGGATGAAAATAGACCCAAATCCAGTCACAATATTGTGAAATTTCAGAATACTGAGAGAACAAAAAGATCTGTAAAGTTTCTGAAGAGAAAACAACAAAGATTAAGAATTAGAATCATAAGAAAATTCTCAGTAGCAACACTGGAAGCTAGAAGACAATGCAGTGATGCCTTTGGAAATCTGAAGAAATATGATTTCCAACCCACATTTCTATAGCTGGTCAACCTACTAGATGAGCATTAGAGTACTAAGAAAGAAATTTTCAGATGTACAATTTTATTCCCTTAGGAAGTTACTAAGGCTGTATTCCACCAAACAAGCAGATCAAAAAGCAAAAGACACAGGAATTCTGGTGTAAGGACACTCCACAGAGAGCAGGGGTGAAAGGAGTCCCTAGGATAATGGTGAAGGGCATTCCCAAGACACAAGCTATATAGCAGTCCTAATGAGAGTCAGTCCAGATTAGAATGAATTTGAAGGCCATGAAAAGGGACATTACAATAATACGCTAAGGTTTTTATACCAAGAGATTTTCTCAAATGGAGGACACTTGGGATATATTCCTGATAATCAAGCAATTGGAGGAAAACAGTATTAACTGTGGTTGAGGGGTAGCTTGTAGGAAGGGAAATACACTAAAAGACTGCTGTGAAGAATATATAATTAACATTTATATGTTAAATATGATAGCAAAACTCTAAGTACTATATGAGAGAATCAGGGATGAGTGAAAGAGTTTTATCTCAATCTTTTGTTGCCAGAAGCAGATAATATGAAAAATTGAAAAGAATCAAATAAACATGTCATTTAGAGATATGGCAGTAAATACCAGCACCCCCCCCAAAAAAAAACACACAGACACACACAAAATAACAATGCAAGAGAACAAAGTGAGCTAAAAACAGGCTGAAAGTGATCGGCTCTAGGAAATAGGAATTGCAATTTTTTGTACTATGCCTCATATAGATGTATCTAATTATATTAAATACTATGTGCATGGTATACTTAGATAAAAATAAGTTTAATAGTTATCATTTGCATAAATCAAGTTGCAGTTTAGTAAGATAGCTGAGTAGTTGGGCTTAAGAGCCCTTCTACTAGTAAATTTTATGTCATATTTTGTAGTACATAAATCTGATTTTAAATCAAAATGGGGTACACTTAAGTTGTGGTTTGATCAGTAATAACTTGGGAAAACTAAACTAGGAGTTAGGAAATAGCTGCTTAAAGCTGTAATATTTGTTTATGACATATATGCTATAATATAGTATCTTCTGTTTCGTTTCACACAGAGCACTCCCAGTTACTGCTTTGTGACCTTACTCTACATTTTAGTCACCCTGTGAAGACAGAAGACTTAACAGAAACAAAAGGAAACAATCCCCTCTGTGAAGAGTCTAAAATTTCAGATGTATCCCTTGTTTCTAACAGTTTTTCTGTCTAATTTCTTATTTGTTGTGAATTTTTTTTATTATTGAATTAACAAATATCTGGGAGAATTGAATTTACTAATGTATTTAATATAATTGAAAACAAAATAAAAATTATGTAGAGTTGTAAATAAGTATTTCATGCTCATGAAGGTTGTTTCATTATTTTAATGCTTCAAGGAATGGTTAATTTATTTCACTAATGGTAAGAGTATGACACAGGAAGTTGGCCATGGGTCACTACTTATCCTTTGTTTGAATTTGGCTCAGGTTGAAAGAGAGTTACTAGATTATTAATGTATGGTATGAGTTTTTATTAATCAGAACTCTCCTGGTAGCACATGCCAAACAACTCCAAATAGCTGAAGCATTTATTGGGTCCTATGCCTTGGAAGTCCAGTATTGGAGTAGATTTCAGGGACTCCACTAATTCATATAATGTCTCTTTCACTTGTGTTTTTGTGTGTTGGCTTCATTCTCCGTTGTAATAGACTGGTTTCCTCCGTGTAATGGGTAGGAAAGGGTAGAAGCATGACGGCAGACAGTTCCAGGTGTACAGCATTGCCTTTTGGAGACGCCCTAAGAAAAGAGAGATCCTGTCTTAGCTTCTGTGCTTAGCATTCCAGAGAGGAATCCTTACTGGCCCAGCTTGATAAGATATTTATCACTGATCAGGGTCCTGAGCAACTGTGATTGGTTCAACTGGGGGCATATAAAAGGCCTATGGCCCAGAGAGGCTAGCCCCATTCAAAAACAAAATGGAGTTGCTGGTGCTTGGTAAAAGGGAGAGAGAATGCTAAGCATGCAAACAAAAGATTCCACCACAGTCACAGCAGTAGGATAGAACACCCTTATATTAAGTCCCTTGCCTCCAAGAGACTTAAAATTTAAGCTTTGCTTTGCCTTGTAAATATGATCCACCACCAAATAGTTGCTTTAAAATTTACCATGTCCTTCATTATAGGTTTTTTTATTATTATTATTTCAGAGTGTTATGGGGGATACAAATGCTTTGGTTACATAAATTGCCTTTGCACTGCCCAAGTAAGAGCAACAAGTGTGCCCATCCCCCAGACAGCACACACCACATATGTTAGGTGTGAATTTACCCATTCCCTCCTCCTCCCCACACCTGTCTGACACCCCATCAATGAATGCTATTTCTCATATGTGCACATTAATTTTGATCAATTAGTACCAATATAATGATGAGTACATATGGTGTTTGTTTTTCCATTCTTGTGATACTTTGCTTATTAATATAGACGAATGGGTTCCAGCTCCATCCAGATAATGCAATAGGCAGTTCATCATTTTTTTAAATGGTGGAGTAGTGCTAAACTATCACTAGTGGGAATAGACAGCCTACAGAATGGGAGAAAATATTTGCATGCCATACATCCCATAAAGGGCTGATAACTAGAATCTATACAGAATTCAGGAAAATCAGCAAGAAAAGAACAACCCCACTAAAAAGTGGGCAAAGTACATGAACAGAAACTTTTCAAAAGAAGGTAGACTTATGGCCAATAAATGTGAAAAAATGCTCAACATTGCTAATTATGAGGACAATGCAAATCAAAACCACAAAGATGTCACTTAACTCCAGTGAGAAAGGCTTTTATCAAAAAGTTCCAAAACAACAAATGTTGGCATGGATGTGGAGAGATAGGAACACTCATATGCTGCTGGTGGGACTGCAAACTAGTACGACCTCTATGGAAGTAATATAGAGATACCTCAAAGAACTAAAAGTAGAACTACCATTTGATCCCGCAATCCCATAACTGGATATTTACCCAAAGGAAAAAAAGCTACTCTATAATAAAGATATCTGCACTCGAATGTTTATAGCACAATTGCAAAGATGTGGGAACAACCCTAAGTGCCCATCAATACATCCGTGGGTTCATAAAATGGTATATGTATACCATTTTAGATATTTTTTTGAATGCCAAGGATAGAATAACATGAAGGAAGACACAAGTTAAGCTCACCCATAATAGAACTTGTGGTATCTGCTATTCTTACTGCCCAGCACCTAGCTCAGCGTTTAACATACAACAGGCACTGCATAAATACTTGTTAATATCCTGTTGAATAAACATGTAAATGAAGGCAGGTTTTTCAGCTTTGGAACTCACAAGTTTTGGAATCTAAATTGAGAACTTATGGTTGTAAAGACCTGGTTTTGTGAAACAAGATTTTTATCAGTTAAAACTCTACATTTCACATACTCTTTATTATTATTATTATTTTAGCATATGATGGGGGTACAAGTGTTAAGTTTATGTATATTACCCATGCCCCCCTCCCCCCCTCAAATCAGAACCTCAAGCGTGACCATCCCCAACCATGTTGCACCATCTCACTCCAATTTGTGTTTGTATATACACATCCCCTCCTCCCTCCCACCTGCCCGACACCTGATACATGTTATTCCTATATGTCCACTGAGATGTTGATCCATTAACCAATTGCTGGTGAGTACATGTGTGCTTGTTTTTCTATTCTTGAGATACTTCACTTAGTAGAATGGTTTCCAGCTCATCCAGGAAAACAAGAGTGCGTATATCACTCTTTGTTTCTTAAAGCTGAATAGTACTCCATGGTATACATATACCACATTTTATCTAACCACTCATGAATTGATGGGCACTTGGGTTGTTTCACAACTTTGCAATTGTGAATTGTGCTGCTATAAACATTTGAGTGCAGGTGTCTTTTTCATAAAGTGACTTTTGACTTTTTGTAGATGCCAGTAGTGGAACTGCTGGATCAAATGGTAGATCTACTTGTATCGCTTTAAGTATCTCCATATTGCTTTCCACAGAGGTTGAAATATTTCAGTCCCACCCAGCAGTGTAGGAGTATTCCTATCTCTCCGCATCCCACACCAACATTTATTGTTTGGGACTTTTGATAAGGCCATTCTCACTGGAGTTGAGTGATATCTCATTGTGGTTTTGACTTGCATTTCCCTGATGATAGAGATGTTGAGCATTTTTTCATGTTTTTGGCCATTATTCTGTCTTCTTTGAAGACTTTCTATCATGTCCTTGATAGGGTTGTTTGATTTTTCTTGCTGATTTCCTGAGTTCTAAGTGATTCTAGTTATCAGCCTTTATCGATGTGTAGCTTGCGAAAAATTTTCCCCCTTCTGTGGTTGTCTGTTGCTCTCTTGACAGTTTCCTTTGGCTGTGCAGAAGCTTAATTTGATCAGGTCCATTTATTTATTTTGTTGCTGCTGTGATTGCTTTGGGTCTTCTTCATAAATTCTTTGCCTAGGCCAATGTCTAGAAGAGTATTTAGAATGTTTTCCTCTAGAATTCTAATAGTTCACACCTAAGTTCAATTTTACCCCAACTGAGTTGATTTTTGTGAGAGGTGAAAGGTGTGGCGTCTTGTTTCAGTCTTCTACATGTGGCTATCCAGTTTTCCCAGCACCATTTATTGAATAAGGATTCTTTTCCCCAGTGTAGACCTCTACAGGGAGAACTATGAAACACTGAAGAAGGAAATAGCAGAGGATATAAACAGGTGGAAGAATATACGTGCTCACCGGGTCGTAGACATCACATTGTTAAAATGTCTATACTACCAAAGTGACTACAGAGTCAATGCAATCCCTATCAAATGCCACCATCATTTTTCACAGATATAGAAAAAATAATTTTACACTTCGTATGGAACCAGAGAAGACCTCGTGTAGCAAAATCAATCCTAGGCAATAAAAACCAAATAGGAGGTATCAATTTACCAGACTTCAAACTATACTACAAGGCTATAGTAATTAAAACAGCTTGTGATTGGCACAAGAACAGGGACATTGACCAGTGGAACAGAACCGAGAACCCAGATACATGTCACATACTCTTTATCTTAGCGTACCATTAGTTTTAACTTGGTGACTTCTTATATCCCTGCCAATACTCCTTTGATTAGCTCATGAAAATGAAGATGTAAGATATTCTTTTCTATTCAGAAAATTTGTAGATTAAGCAGAGAAGCCAAAAATGTTTGTTGTTAATAAAAGTTGTACAATAATAACCAAGGTCCCAAAGGGAAAAACTTGAAGAACAACTGATTGTCATTGTTTTGCTGAATACCAGGTTTTTATCCGGCTAAGTGCCTACTGCTTCTTGTTAAGTGCGATTTGTAAACTAAAGGAAAGAGTTGAATTGCCTGGGAGGACTTACATAGAGCCTGTTTGGGAAGGTTGAGAAGGGGCTTTATGACAGAGTTGTCAGGGTTAACAAGAGACAGAAGAGCTGTATCTACCTAATAGGAAAGTCTGATCACAATTTTCTGTGTATAAGCATTGCTCCTTCATTTTCATCAGGAAGTATTCTGTAAAATGTACATTCCTGGACAATGCTCCGGAGTTTGGAGGAGGGTGGAAGGGATGGAGAGGATGTGGGATTTGAAGTGCCAATTAAACCCAGATGTAGTAATTAAACTGGGGGTAAGCCTAGGTGACACCAAAGCCTCATCTCTAAAATGTTTTCTTTTGGTATTTGTAAATTTGCATTAATATACAAAAGTAATAGTATGGACTAAATTATAAAGTCAATAAAATTGTTTTAGGAGCCCAAGAGTAAAGCAAAAGACAATTTTAATCCCAGAAGTTATCCCAACATGCATTTATCTTTTCATAAAAAAGTACATAAAAATTCTCACCCCCAGGAAAAAAAAACACCAATGAGAAGGAATGAAATTATATTTTTGAAGCCTCTTAAATTATTGCTGCTGAGAAAATGAATTTTAGTAATTTTTAAATTATATTTATAAAACTAATGATGCCTCTGACTGACAAGAGGTTTGGCTATACAAAAATACAGTTTTATGTGATACCAATAACAATTACTATTTCAGTGTTTTTAAACCTGCCCCAAATTACTTCTTTAGCTATGTGAACTACTGTACTTTGAAATGGGTATTCAAAAATACACATTTTTTAAAATGAATTATTACAATGCATTACTAGACTTCAAGTGTGAATGCTATTACTCATGCACTTTATAAACATTGAAGAAGAATAAATAAATTATGGGATATTTGACAGTCTTCATTGCAAACACTTTTTAAAGGAAAGGACAAAACCCTTGTGTTCATGGTGAGGGTCTCAATTCAGTCCTGAGTGTTTGTCCATTGACCAAAGTTGACCGATCATCCGTGTTGGCAACACAGGCAGGAGCAAGGCTTGTTTGCTTGGCTACCTTGCTACTGATACCCTGCAGCGTGCGTTAATGTGCACTGGTATCTGGAACCTCGGTTTTTCCCATCAATCAGCAGAAGTGGCATTTTCCTGAAGTAGTCAATAATATCTGACACAGACAAAAAGTCCTGAAAGAGTCAAAATATAGAGATAAGGCAACATTGGAATGGGTAACATAAATTTCACCCTCAGTTTTTTTTTATCTGCATAATATATCCTACCTCTTCAAGTTATGATGATTGTGGGAAACTTATGTAAAATATGACAAATAGTTTAATGATTTCTGCTATAGAACTCACAAACATCCAAAAAAACATGGATAAGAGACTAAAAATGTGTGTGCGTGTATATATACATATATAATGTGATACATACTTTTTAAAACTTCATATAGAGGGTCATTTACTCCTAAATTTTTTTTTTTTTTTTGAGACAGAGTCTTACTTCGTTGCCCAGGCTAGAGTGAGTGCCTGGTGTCAGCCTAGCTCACAGCAACCTCAACTCCTGGGTCCAAGCATCCTTCTGCTCAGCTCCCGAGTAGCTGGGATACAGCATGCGCCACCCATGCCAGCTAATTTTTCTATATATATTAGTTGACCAATTAATTTCTTTCTATTTATAGTAGAGACGGGGTCTCGCTCTTGCTCAGGTTGGTTTCGAACTCCTGAGCTCAAACGATCCGCCCACCTGGGCCTCCCAGAGAGCTAGGATTACAGGCGTGAGCCACTGCGCCCGGCCTAAATATTGAATTACAATACCTTTGCTTTGAGGTGCGCTCTTTGGTTTTGGTTTCTGTATCCCTACTTCACTCCAATATTAGTAATGTTAAGAGGCATAAGGAATCAGGAGGCCAAACATCATTCATAGTGTCGAGGTGGTATCTATAGCATGGCACAACGGTTCCTTCATGATCTCTCTGCTGTGTCCCCATTGCCACCTCCATGCTCAAAAGGGCTTAGCAGCCAAGTCTTCTTTGTATAGCCTTGATCACCCAAACCCTGTGGTGTATGTGTCCATGTTGCCTGTAATAAATTTTAGTTCCTGTCTATCGTTCTAGAGCTATGTTGTGATGAAGTCCTTATTGTACCCATTTTATCTATGGATTATGCAGCTTTTTCTTAATGTGGGTTACTAATCTGTTATGGTGAAACTCTTACTTTCCCCATTGTTTCTTGCTCCTATGCTGTTCATAAGAGGTTGTGTCTTTACTTGTGTGTTTCCACATTCTTGTTTTGTGATCTCATAAGAAATGTATTCTGTGTTTGGAGGGCTTTATACACATCTCTTGTCTTTGTGTGTGCTATAGGTTTTGCATGTTTGCTTTATGTTCCATCTAGTGAACCAAGGTGATGTTTTCGTGATATGATCATTTTGTATCTATTAATCATGCATTTGGTTTTTATTCACTGTATGTTATTTTATCTTACTTAAAAGTATTTGGTTTGGTATAGTGAATTTTTTGTATTGTGTTTTGATTGTTGGTTTTGCTGTCTTTTATTGTCTGGAATAGTGTTGGTAGGCACCTTGTCCCTGTGCTCTGGAACTTCTGATTACTGTAATTAAGAGCGTGTGGCTATAATACTTATTTGTATTTGTTGTTCTCTTAAAAGATATGTAGCTTGCTTTTTTTTTTACCTCTGAAGATTTCTTTCACTTCATTTCTGATTACCACTCAAAAAGTGACTGGCATGAGAATCTAAACCTCTGCCTAAAAGAAAAAAATTATCTTTGGCCTAAGTGTGGCTCTTCAGCAGATCCCGCCTCTCCTATTAGTATATGATTATGATACTCCTCGATCACGTGTTATATATATATTTCCTCTCTTAGTCTATTTAGCTACAGTTATTCTAGTTTTTTGTCCCCTTTCCCAATTGTCGAGGGTCCATTTTAACACGATCCGTATAAGGTTACACTGGCGTGTGGCGGTGATGCGTGGTAAGAGGTATGTCCTCGACAGAGCGCTGAACAATTGTGAGGACTTGACTTTGACACGGGAACGTGGGGGTTTTTTGGTGAAATTTATGTTAAGTATGTTGTGAGAGTAGTGTCTTTTCTTCCTCCTTTTGTTATTGATGATAATGTTTTTTGTGTTTGTGGGTTATTGCCAGTGGTAGTGTTGTTGTGAGGTGATTTGTATTTGGATAGTGAAGAGGAGACAAAAAGAATCTCCTTTTGTAGTGGTCTGATGGATTTCTGTGGTACGCTGTATTTGGTTATTAATCAGTGTTTTATTTCTTCTTGCAATATAGATGTAATATAGTGGCTCTCTCCTTCTACTCAGGTATTTGAACGTGAAGGTTTGGTTTTGTTACTTTGGGGAGTTATGGTTACGCCTCAGTTTTTATTGATACGTGCTCCGTAGTTGTGAGCTCTACGAAGGGTATGCAGACAAACATAAGAGAGTTGGTGGGGGGAAAGTGTTGGGAAACTTTGATGGGTAATCTTTGGTGTAACCTCTTGTGTTTTTCCTCTTCGTGATGGTGGGGGGGTGCCCGAGTTCCACATTAAGTATATTGTACTTTCCTCGCGTTGGGTGTAAAGATGCTTGGATCGTTGTAACAAATAGTAATAATATAACTGTATAACAACTCATGAGACATATAGGGTTTGTTTGGTTATTGTCTTTTTAGAGCTGTCTCTAACCAGAAAAGTGCCATCCTAAAAGGTATTAATTATACCTTTTATTATGGGAGCGTAAAAGTCCACTAGTTTTTGCTGCCCTGTAAGAGCTAGTGTACAACCTGCGTCTAGGCGATCATAGTTAACTTAGTTGCCTCTATATAGTTTGTTTGCTCTAGTTGCCTTGACTGCAAAACCTGACAGTCAATGAATACTTAGTTTCCCAAACAGCGTCAGATCCCACGTGTCATGAATTTTTTGGTTATCAAGAGAGAGGCAGCCGAGATTATATTGGAGAAATTTTCAAGTCAACCTCTTTGAAGTCTCTTGATAAAAAGAAGGAAATATTTTTTTCAGTAAAAACCAAATAATAGGTGGTTGAGTAGATAAAAGGCCAGGAGAAATACTTTATTGGTTAACTCAAGATATATCTTCCTATTCCTGTGAGTTAATTCCCTAACCTTTCTTTTTGACATATGAAGTCAGAAAACACCCAAATACCTATGAAATGTACCCCTTTTAAAAACTCATGATCTCTACATATAGTGTTTCATTCATCAGACACCTGAACAAAATTGAATGCAGCTCTATGTGTTCTTATCATCCTTTTTTCTAATATTTACTAAACTAGTGTTGTGATTCATCTTGTACTTTAAATTTCCATCCAATAAAGTATTGCTATATAATATTAATATTGTAAAGACCTAATGTTAAAATAGAATTAATTAGTAAGGGCTCCTTTAAACTAGTCCCTTCTCTTTGTACTGAATCTGGATGGCTTTAAATAGCCATCAATTTGCAATTAACAGCTTTCCTTCATGTCTTTTCATTCCAAGTTAATTGAGCCAGTCAGATCATCTTTGTTAAACAAACATATTTCTGGACCAGTGACTCACTGTCTTGGCTTCGAATTATAATTGAGTTTTGAAGCTTCTGAGAGCCCACACGGCACCCCAGACTAATTAAGTCAGAATCTGCAGGTGACACCCAGGAATCAGGATCTTTAAAAAGCTCCCAGATGATCTAAATGTGCAGCTAAGGTTGAGAACTACTGCTGTATAGACTTTAGATGTGAAAGATGAAGGATCTTTCCTTTCCCATCTCTGATAAATAGATTTAAGATTAAGGTTTGGCACTGGGCCACAGGAAATCTGTTTAAGACCTTATTATATTAAAGGACTAGCTAGAAATGTCTAGGGGAAAGAGCAAAACATTGCTGCTGTCTCTTTCAATATTGGTCTTTTTGCATCGATGTGGATGGCAATCATGTGTAAAGAGGAAATGGAACTACATGGTAAGATGTTGGAAATTTAGGGGAGAGAGAGTCTCCTTCTAACACTATCTGATTCCTATAATAAGATGGACTCCTTCCACTAAAAAAAATCTCCTAAAATTCTGCCAACCAAATGACTGCCTAATTTACATTTTTCTGCCAGCCAAATGATTCCCAAGTCTTGGGAATCATTGCTATGGATGGAGGTAGTTGTGAAGCTGGCACTAATGGATCTCCTAGGAGTAACAGTGGCAATAGCACCTAGCAGAATTTCTAGCCCCTAATTGGTACTCAGTACAAGTCAGTTCCCTTATTATTCTCTGTTAATATTTATAACTATTTAAAAATAAACTATAGCACAATACCTGGTTTATCCGTCTAAGAGCAGCTTCTGCCTCTGGTCGGGTAATATAAGAAACGTACCACTCTTCATTTAATGAATTCTGAAAATGTAAATTTTTAAAAATTGAATAAATTTTTCAGTTACATATGTAAGTTAAAAGAAAAGCCTCTGAGTAATAATTTCCATAAATCACCAACTCAATTCCATGAGCTTTAAAGCATTTGTTTTCTTAATTTGAATATAGAATCATTTAGTTGGGGCTAAAAGAAGATATTTTGCATGAACTGCTTTTTATCATGACACTGGATGCAAAGGTAGCTGTGAATAAGCATTCCTTATGTAATGGAACCTCTAATCAAGAAAGATACAGATATAATAATTTCTTCATTTTAATATAACATGCTTAATGAAAAAACTGGGTTAATGAGTAATTTGTATGACTAATCAAGGTCATAAGCTAGGAAACAAAAAATAGGATTATTTTCTTGTTGTTTAATATAAAACACACATTTCCCATTGGAAGAGTATGAAAGAACACCAAGGGGAAAAGAATATAATTTTCATTTGGAGTCTTTCTTTTAATATATGTTTTCAAATAAAATAAAACTAATAGAAGATAAAAGTACAAATGACTATTCAATGGGAGTTTCTGATGATTCATTTACTGAGGAAAAACAAAATAACAACATATGCTGTATTACCTCTTCTTCCGCAGGGGATGGGGGCCGAGGTCTGTTTGGAACTGGCAGGGGGAAGTTTCGGCCTTCAGCTCTTAGAGGTGTTCTGTTGCTAGAACCTTCAAAAGTATAGCATTTTGAAAGTTAACTTGCTGTAAGCTATGGTTTGCTTCTGTCAAAACACATTTCCCCCTCAAAACACCCTTGCAATTGTTCCAATAACGAATATTTCAAGCAACCAGAGTTTTGAAAATAAATTTCGCCTGTTCAAAACTATGAGGGCTGCTCAGGCATTGTTCTGTAATCATGCCAATAAAACTCTGAGAGCACAACCTCAACATCGAGTGATTTCCTAGATGTGCATGTTACGTGATGTAAAGTGACTACATCACTTTCACATTCACATGTGAATGTATGAAAAATTCACATTTGTTTTAATGAATGTGAGCATCGAAGAGAATATTCAAGAGACAAATCTTTCATAGACTCCTGTAACATCAGCACACCGAGAGTGGATTCTCAATGCTGTAGTGACAATTTGGTAATAAAGATAATTATGTTCTTAATGTTTTTACAAGAAGAAATGTAAGGGACCCCAGACAATATGAAATTACATTGAGAATACTGTTAGCTTTTAAAACCAAAGTTTGCTACATGCTGTTCTCAAGAGGAAAAACTGTTCAACTCTCACAGAAGGCACTACTGATTATTTGACCAGCCAACATGTCTTCATTGGGCCCTATAAATCACCCAGTGCTTGCACCTCATCTTCTCTAAACTCTTTTTTCTTGTTTACAGTTCCCTGAAACTTTATGAAAACATCTTCTCATCTCAGGAAAGGTTTGATTGTGTTGACTTGTTATTGCCAAGGCTGTTTTCTATGTGCTTTAAATGTTCTTAAATGTTAAATGTTCTTTTAATTATTCATCCATCATTTGTTTGTACATTCAACAAATATTTTATTCAGCACTACTCTGTCTTGAGCAAGGCACTTTGTTTCTGTTACCTTTAATTCTGGCAGCAACATTACAAGGTGAGAATGGGCTTCATTTTGCATGAGTAAATGGAGTCTCAGAGTCTCAGCAAATCACGTGCTATTAGTGGCAAAGCCGAGACTTGACCCTGTGGTTCCCAAACGTTGTTGTGCATAAGTAAGAATCACTGAGGGGCTTTAAATCACTCAGGGCCCAGGAACCTGCATGTTAACAAGCACCTCAGGCGGTTCTGCACCAGGATTGTCACTGCATTGCCAGACCACTGTTACCCACTGAGGGAGGACAGTGACCTGGGAAAGGCCGAAGTCTCCTGAGCCCGGCCACCAGGATCATTGAAGATAGCCTTCCCTGTTTCTAAATAGGCAGGTAAGGCTGGGCCCGAGCTGCCCATGCCTCCCTTCTCCGGTTCCCCTTGCCTAAACAGACCTTCCCGCCCCTGCTTTTGCAGTCCAACACTTTTACACTTACAATGCTTGTTGAATGAATAAAATCCAACAAGCTAGGAGAGTAATAGAACCAGGGCCTGTTGCGTGGCAGTTTTAGAGTTAAGGAAGTATTCTCTTTCTGCTTCTACACCCACAGGCAAGCATCACACACTTTCAAAAGTCATAATTCACAACAGACAAGCATATGCACTTTTTATTGCAGTTCCCCACCACCCCCAATATCTAGAGCCTCAAAGGCACTGTGACCGGTTTTCGGGCAATGCACAGCACAGTCTTTACCTTCCTGACATTGGAGCAGCCAGTGGAGAAGACTGAGGACCAGGGGTCCTGGCAGTCTTAGAGGAAAGGGATCAATTTGGATTAAGGCAGTACTCCAAAAAATAATTAACTCTTTGTATTAATAATCCCTATTAGCAACTCATCAAACTGGAGATGTGTGGAATTTGTCTTGGGAACTATTGCTGTAAAGCGAACTGTCTGGAACTCAGATGCCTGCAGGGGCCAGGTAGGTTACACAAATGTGAGTTTGCAAAACACAGTGAGTTTGAGGATGCTGGAAAGTTGAAGGGGCTGGGAAACTGTGGAAACCAAACGGTGAATATGGACACAACCACCTCAAATGCTTAGCAAACGCTGAGAACGTGGCGGGTGCCAGTGGGGTTGGCAGTGGGATCTCACCTATCTGGGGAATGACAGACACATCCAACTGAATACAACAGATGCACTCCAGAAAAAAATGTTTATTCTCAAGTATAATCCAAACATACTAGTGTAATTTTCTATTTAAAACACAAAATGCTGTTCTGCACAGGAACCATGAATGCAAAAAAAAAAAGGTTTTTGTTTGCTCCTCACAGCATTATAAAAAAGAATTTAAGTCGACATTTAAAAATTGGATAATTCCACATTAAAGGCTATGTTTTCAACTGTTCTTTAAAAGAAAATTGGAAAATTTGGCAACATTAGGCCAGTTTCCTGGCATGGTAAAAATCTTACTAGAGTTAGCTAACTTTTCACAGTCATTTGACATTCAGTCATTCAACAAGCATTTTAAAAACACCTACTATATGCCAGTCACTTGCAAGTGTTTTTGTTTTTGAGACACAGCCTCATTATGTCACCTAAGCTGGAGTGCAGTGGATATTCACAGGCATGATCATAGCTCACCACAGCCTCAAACTCCTGTGTTCAAGTGATCCTCCCACCTCAGCCTCCCTCTCGAATAGGCAAGTCTTCAGGGATAAAAAACACAAGTGAGTCCTGCCCTGTAGGCTTTTGCTGCTACTCAAAGTGGTCCATGAACCAGCAATATCAGCATGATGCAGGAAAATGTTAGAAATGCAGAATCTCTGGTTTCACTCCAAACCTACCAAAGTAGAATCTGCATTGTAACATGATTCCCAGGTAATTTGTATGAACATTAAAGTTGGAGAACACTCTAAGCAAATGCTTACCATGGACCTCCAGAGGTGGTTATTATTAATAAACAAGTCCCTGGGCCTCACTCCAGACTCACTGCATCAGAATCTGTGAGGATGAGTTCTCTTAATCTGTATTGTGAGCATGCTCCCCACTCACAGACTATGGGCAGATGCATGGGGAAATCTAACGCTACAGAGAAAGCCAGGCGCTATTCTGGCTCTGTGTGGGAACAGCAGGGAGGAAGAGCTCTACATGGGAAGGTGAGGGTAGCAAAGTATATGTGCGAATGTGTATGTGTTTGTGTGTGTATATATGTATATGTATGTGCATGCATATGTGTGTGTCTGTGTGAATGTGTATGTGTCTGTGTGTGCACATGTCTCTGTGTGTGTGCATGTGTATGTATGTGTGTGTGTGCATGTGGTGTCTTATGTCATATCCAGTCATTCCAACAGCCCTTGGAACACTGCAGACACTGAAATAAATGTTGAATGAGGAAGTCGGATGCTTTTGGGAAACAACAAAACCCCTGCCAAAGGCTTTGGGACAGGCTGGAGTCCATTCATAAAGGCACGCTGGCTGCAGCAGGTCACCAAAGCCACGAATACAAACCTTGAGAGAAGTAGGGCGGCAGAGAGGCGCTCTGTGGAAAACTGCTGTTGCTGCGGAGACAGGAAAAGAAAGGGATGTTAGTTGGGGGGGGCTGGGTTAGGGAAGCCAGACCGTGGACGACTTCTGCTTCTTTTCCTGCTTTCTCATTGCTTCCCACACCGCCTGCCCTCCAAACCATGGAGCTGGGCCGAGGGGAGGAACTGATCAGATTCATTTCACTCTTTTCCCTTGGACCATCCCAAAGTCTAAGGAGCTTCATGAGCCAAAACAACAACAGCAGCAGCAAAATTAAACTGTGTAAAGGGCATTGAAAAGTTACTTTAAAAAATTGGCAGCAGTTTGGGGCCTTTTAGTTCAGAGAATGGCAGAAGCCCTCTGGGAAGGGCACTTCTCTTTGGTAGGAGGATGTGTTAAGGGGCCTGTCTTTGGGAACAGTAACTCCAGGGCCCACAGGGCTGCAAGGAGAGGGCAGGGTGGTGCGAAGAGAGCGCTAGGTGGCGCTGCAGCCACAGCACTTGCAGGGCTGTGCAGGGGAGGGTGGTGGGAAGGGGGTAGGGGGGAGGGTAGTGGGAGGGGAGGATGGGGGTAGGGGTAGGGGGAGGGCGGTGGGAGGGGACCCCAACATGCTGAGCAGTGACGCTCCCACCCACCAGTCCACATCTTTGGAAACTTCTGCTCTGCACAGCAACCTGGCCTGAGAGGTATTCTGTGAGAATACCTCTGCGGCTCCCAGTGTGGAAGGGAGCAGCAGTCTAGAAGGAGCAGGCCTGGCCCAATAAGAAACCGGCAGGGAGAACGACAAGAGCCACAGAAAACAGGGCAAGAGGCACCCCAGGAAAAGGAACCCTCGTGAGAGTCTTCTCCATAGCTGGCCGGGGCGTACGCATCTTACTGAAGGTCCAGTTTTCCGCAATGCCTAGGGGAGGGAAGTGGGCTCCTCCCTTTGAATATTAAGGCCTTGGGGGACACCAAGAGGAGGCCTCTTGGCTGGTTTGGGGCAATGACCTGGGCCTTTCCCCTGTTCATGCCTCTGCCTCTGCACAGCCTTATCCTGAGTCCTGAGAAACGCTGCTGCTGTTGAGAAAGCCGACCTGCTAGGGTCAGTCTGCAGTCGATTCTCAACATCTGCCGAGAATTTCTCAGTCTTCCCAACCAGCTTGCAGAACGTGCTCCAAGTACTTAAATAATAAGGTAATGACTGTTGTGTGTTTGATTAAACTCAGGAAGTGAAAGCATCCTCCATTTTCTGCCAAGGGGTCCGTTCTGTCCGGAGTGATCGGGGAGGAAGTCAGTTCTGCACCCCTCTCATGCCAGGCAGAAAGGACAGCGGCGAGGACAGCGGCGAACTAACACACCCTTCTCAATGCTCAGCCTGGCTTTGCTTCTTCAGATCTAAAATGCTCAGACCCCACTACCCACCGGCTCATTTCCTTCTTCCTCAACCTACCTGGCATTACCTCCGTGTCAGGTGAACCCGGATGTTATGTTAAGCTACAATTTAATGACGGAGGCACAAACCTTTCTGAGAAAGCTCCAGGCACGTGGGAGGATGGGAGAGAGTGCTTGGCGCCCGGCTTGGTAGATCTTGAAGGGAAAGTGTTGGAGCTCATAGGAAGTAGTGCTGGCTGGGGCAGAGGCCTGTGATGCACTGTGCGGAAGTGGAAACACATTAAGGAGATTGTCAGGACCCAAGTGTCTCTAAGGAACATTCGAGAACTGCTCCCAGCATCCTGTTCTAAGTGGATGACTGTCTAATCGTCCAGTTAGAAACAGCTAGTATAAAGGCAGACACAAAAGTCTAAATGAGCAGATGTAATTAGGAAGTGGTAAGATCGGTCCCTATCCCTCAAGGTTTTTCTAGATGATGTTGCATCTTTAAAGTGCCGCTATTCTATATCATTTTCTATAATACACATTCATTGTATTTTCGGAATGCTAACTTGGCAGAAAATTGTCAACTGGAAACATAATGAATCTCAGAAATTATTCACAAGTTTTTTTATCTTGTTTTGTGAAACTCAAAATTTTATGCTATCTCATTTATCTACAGTTACTGATTCTTTATCTACGTTTGTTAGAGGGCATAAATATTAGAGATTTTTCTATCAAACCATGCATACAATTTTAAATTTTGCTGTACAATTCAGTGATCTGCACTGCTACACATGAACTTAACAGTTCTCTTTGGTGATCCAAACAAATAATTCCATTTTATTGTAGCTGTGCAGTATATCAACTGATGTAAGCCTATTTAATACTAATTTAACAGTTATAATTGATTCTACAGTGTTCCTGGACTCAACAATCCCAGTTGAATGCCTGAACAGATATATGAAAGAATGAGTTATAAGTTATAAAAAAAAATTTCTAAACATACCATCATCTTCCTCCTGGGCAGGGAAAGAAAAAAAGAAATATTAATGTATCATCAAAATACAATTTCTAAAAGAAGACTGCATTTCTCAATCAAATAAATGTCTCTGTTTCTTTCTTTGATAGTTATGCCTCTTTATAATAAATATATTGTAGAGAATACTAGAACTTGCTAAGTGGTTTATGATTTCTTAATACAAATAATCATCTCAGGACACTCCAATTTGAGACTCTCCCCATGTATTTAGCATGAAATAGCTTCAGAGGTAACTAAAAAGCCCCAAAGATATGATGATATTAGCAATATCTATGATGCACCCCAAAACATTCATACACAAGATTTCATTCAGTTCCTCTAGCAACCCTTCGGGAATTTCACATCCTTATTTTACAAATGGAAACATGATCCTCAGGACAGTCCTAGCTGCATTGTCAAAGGTTGCAGAACTGGGCTCCACGCTGGATCTGTGTGACCCAAAGCTCAGCCTCCTTTTTGTCTCTCATGCCATGGCCACTCTTCTCAACAGCAATACGGCTGCACTTATTTCCAGTGCAGCTTACAAGGTGCACCCACAGCCCTCGCCATTTTTATCTTCCAGGCAATCTTGTGAAATAGACAAGGGAAGGGCTATTTTCTCTTCTCGGGTAAGGATGAGGTTCAAGGAGACAAATGATTTTGCCATTGACTAGTAGACCACAGGGGCCAGCTTGCTGTTAAGAAGGGTGGCCTTGGCAAGGGAGTTTTGTTAGGCCAGACCTGTGGTACGAAATAGCAGCTTCCTCAAAGTGTTGTCATAAGGATTAAATTAGTTACTGCATGTGCCTAGCATAGGTTAAGTGCTCTTTAATAAAAGCTTGCTATCATTAATCCTACCACACATTGAGAGAAGGCAAAAGAGATCAAGCCAGAATTACTTGTGCCCACTGGCCAACTGGGAGTCCCAGCAAAGGGCTGTGCATATAACACACACGTACTCAGGAGCCCCCTTCCCACAATGACATTGTTCTTCGACACTGCTGCAACCATGTCCCCTCTGGTTGGGTACTATACAACACCCAGATTCCAATGACAATGAATCTCAATAATCCTTCCAGAGACTGGGAACCTGGAGTGTGTGATGTTATCTTCACTGTCCAACCTTATCTCCACTTTGTCCCTGTATCTCTGTAGCCAAGCCACTGTCCTCCCTGTCTCCACAGGCTCCATGGGCATTGCTGTCCACCCACTCAGGACATTCCTGAGGCTGGAATGCACCTGGGCTTTCTTCTAGGGTGACTATTTTGTGTCCTCCCCATCATTCAATGACCATAATAAAGCTCACTTCCTCTAAGAAGTCACCACTGGCTCCTTGACCCAAATGGGCCACCTTCTTTCCTTAGCCTCTACAGAGCATCCATGACTGTATGCTCTTTAGCACGTGTGATGTAAACACGCCTGTCTCCAGGCTCAGCATTTCACCTGAACAAGCGCGGCATCTAGCGCAGAGCTATGCAAACTGCAGGGATTTGTGGGTAGAGCGCTGGAACAAGGGCAGGGGTCTGATGGCCTCTGGAGGGCTTACGGTGTAGAGAAAGGCAGACAGGCCGGATTCAGATGCTGGCTATGTTCTGGCTGTGCAACGTGCCAGTATCCCCTTCTGAGCCTCAGTTTCCTCCCAGTAAAAGGGAAAGGATGACCCCTCACAGGGTCACTAAACACAAAGCATATGTAAGGGTAGTGGTGACAACCATCCTGGTTTGGCTGGCACTGAGAGAGCTCCTGGGATGTGGGACTTTCAGTACAAAAACTGGGAGCACCCTGGGCAAACAGGGACAGCTGGTCACCCTGAAGCAGCTAGCATAGCAGTGTGCACATGGTAAGCAATCAAATGCTATTTCCCCTCTTTTTCAGACCGTGGAGGTACTGAAAGGGGAAACAGAGGCCTTGGAAACTTCAGTGTGGCCCAGACTCCTGGCCGTCCCTCACGGTATCCTCTCTTCCGCTCCCCACCCTCACCTTGCTAATTACACCACGGGATGGGGCTGCCACTCACCCAGCCCCCCCACCAGGTGCTCTCACAGGGACAGGAGCTAAGCAGCACAGCACGACAGGCTCCGAGAAAGACCCGGGCCCCAGCACTCAGGACCCTCTCCAGGTTGGACTTCAGCGAAGGCCGAGATGGATGGGGCCCCAACCTCCACGGAGCCCACTCTGGTTCCCCCCACACCAAGCATTCACAGAATGCCATTTGGTACTTACATTCTCTCTTCTGTCTTGTCCCCATCCATGCCTGAAATGAATTAGGGCAAAGAAAATGAACTGAGCACAAAGAGTTCCAAAGAGCCAGCCTCACAATATAGTTTCACTTAATCGAATAATGAGAAATCAAACCCACTGAGGCGTGGGAAGAGGGGAAGCGACGCATCCCAGCAGAAAGGCAGGGGAGCAGGGTGCAGGGGCGATCTGGCCACTCAGCGTGCTGTCATCATTGCAAGCTGAGCTAGGCAGACCTTTTTTTTTGGGTAGCTAGTGCAGCAAATAATTACATATATATATACTATATATATATATATATATATATATATACATATTATGTAGTCAGCAAACTAACTCCTTAGTAGCTATTAAATTTCACTGAGCTGTTGTTTCTCAAGCAAATGAAAACATTTTAGGTAATATTCTCCTTTGCTGATGTTTTAAAACAGCCGTCTCAGGACCCATGCTTGGTGTAAAGAGAAGACGGTTGGAAAATGCTACTGCTTTGGGACTTTTCCAAAGGGGGCTCAGTGCAGTTGGCCCAGATGAACAAGACAGCCAAACCGATGTGGCGACAGCTGTCTTAGAGCCGCGGCAGGCATCTGCGCCGCTGCCCCTTAGCACAGCCTCTTCCGGGAGAAGGGAAGAGAAGGGCAATTTGTCGAGCATCTCCCGCATGTCAGATGCTCCCCACGTTGTCATCGTATCCTGCATTTATTTAAAATTTTGATATTTTGTTCATTGACTTTTTTGCATTCATTTTGATTGTTTAAAAATACGACACTGAAATGTCATCAAGCTCATTACTAAGGGGTTTTCTTGGCACACTCTAGCCCTGGCCTTGATTTAATCCTCACAGCAGTCAAGCAAGGGTGATAGGTACGGATCCTGATTTCACAGATGACATTAACAGAGCCTTGGTGATAGCAGGTTTAGTAAGCAGCAGGGCTGGCCTGCCACCAGATCCATGCATGCCACTGGTACAAACGCCCCAAATGACTTCATGGCAAAGTTAAGAAACACTAGAGCAGCCTCGGTATCCTGCAATTATAAAATGCGGTTGAACAGTAAGGAAGACACAGCGACCTAAAAACCTTCCCCAGTTATTTTCTTTCTGCTACCTGCACTGAAAAATGAAATGGTAAGTGCAGTTCCTATGCACCGTGAAGGCTTTTCTGTAACAAGGCGAAAAAAAAAAACAAAACTCAGTTAAAAATCCGACTGCTTGTCGACAGTCTCTCCACAAACAGCAGCCATCTCGTACTCCGGATTAAACATCCCCCTACTCATTTCTCAGCTATATTCCAATTTCTTCAGACACCCTGGCACTTTGTGTCCAACCAGAGAAGCCTAGACATTCCTCAAGCCGCAGCAAGCAAAGGGTCCCGCCCCAGGCAGGCTGCCTACGCCACCCACCCTGCGGGAATGACAGGCTCTAGTGACACAAGACAGTTACTTGGGCACAGGTGGCTTCTTCCCTGGCAGGGGGCTACTTCTTTCGTGTCTTTCGGTCGCTGGCGGCAGAGGAGGCTTTTGTATCTTGGATAAAGGCTCTCCGAGAGGCCTGCGGAGTTCAGAGAAAGGAAGTGTGAGAAGCAAACTTCGCCAGGCAGAGGTCTGCGGGATACCCCGTGTACCCTCGTGTACAGGCAATGGGGGGGCGTCCTACCTTCCCGCCGGGACGGAGGGCTGCAAGGCAGAGGGGAAGACGAATGAGTGTCCAAGCACTTTTCAACGAGTAAGGACAAAATTGCAAAACAAACAAAAACAAAAGAGGACAGAAACGGCTTACCTTGTCAGAAAACGCTGGTTTCTTTCCTGTAAATGACAACGGACAGGCCTTGAATACAGGACTTCATAAGCATGAGGTTTAAAAACACAGTTGGAGGAGGCTGTGAGTCTGAGCTCTTAAGGGGGCCGCATTCCAGCCTTCAGATTTGGAAATGTCCCTTACAGAGGACCTCATTTGACAGGCTCAGAGAAATCAAGTGTCTTGCCCACAGTCACACAGCTTTGTGAACATACAAACAGTATTGTGGACTCTGTGCTTTTTTTTAACATTTTACTTTACATAACTGATGAGCAAAAGAACAAACGTCTTCTTGGGATTTTATGCCTCTTTCATTGGCCAAAATATATTTTGTACAGCCTAACTTTATTTTCAAACTGAAAATAAACCCATTTGCCATGAAGGGGTTAATTTTTTTCCAGTCCTGTGGAGCACTTGATATTAAAGTGCTCCACTTAGTTTTTGGAGAGCACTTTTAACTTGGGGAAGAGGGTTTCAGGAGATTCTCCTAGAATGCTGCAAATCTTTTTTTTGGTTGGCTTTTGTTTGTTTTACTTTTCTTTTAGAGCAGATGATATATGATATCCCAGCTCCCTGAAGAAATGCCAGACGTACCTGAGAATTCTGCATTGCAAAGTTACTCGTTGAGCAATTTAACTTGTATTCTATCTAAAGTCGCCTAGAAAAGATACACCCTTTGTCGTCAATGCGATAAAAGTATTACTAACAGGATTCAACCAGGTCTAGAAGCAAATCCTTTATGACCTTGAACAAGTTACTTAAGGTTTTTAACTCTCAATTTCATCATCTCTAAAATGAGGTTACAGGCTAAAACCCTATAGGTTTGTTGTAAGAATCAGTTGACAATTTATATGCAGGGTCAGGCACACGACGGTGAAATCTGATTATACGAATTGGATCATTCTTGTCATACCCAGCTAAAACAGAGTCAAGAAGTCAGGGGAGGAAAGCACCCAGGACACGAATATTGCTCCAGAAATGTAATTCTCTGCAAGTCTGGCTGCTGAAATTGCCTGCTGTAACCTCAAACTAGTTTTATCTAAAAGTTGCTGAAATGACCTGCTGCAACTCCAAGGCTAATTTTATGCACTGCCATCACTCCCTGGTCAAACCTGCCACCTCCCTGGGAGCTTGCTAGTGCCAATGAGCTTTCTCAAACAGTAATAGGTAACATTCCTCTTTTTCGTGCAACCTCCAACCTTCTCTTTGTTCGTTGGAAATACTGAAGACCACAGGTTTGTGTGCATGCCCTGAATCTCAATTCTTTCCTCCCAAATAAAAGGTTAGATTTAGAGATGCATCTCTGCATTTTTATTTTGACTTTGTCATGATCGGTGTGGGCTGACACTTCTTAGTTACCTTCCTTTCTTTCCCTCCCTCCTACATCCAGGCACAAGTAACGCCCTAAGGCGAATGGAGGGACGATATGCCTGGAGTTGCATTTTCACAACATGGTTTATTCTTTAAGGACCAAAAACATGCCAGGCCCGTGATTGTCCTAAGAATACTGTCCTACCGTGAATACTGTCCCACTCACTGGCTAGTGGGAGAGAGTTTTGATGGTATAAACCTGTTTATTATTTATAAAACTTTAGTTTGGGGTAGAACCCTCACTTTGGAGGGACACCCAGAAAAGTTAGATTTATATCCTCTGGCCTGAATGTACTTTTTAAAAAAATATGCTCATTTTTGTATATATTCTCTGGGCATGGTAGGAGTCTCATGTTGAGTCTAAGTATTGTAAAACGACATTAATTCTTCTAAACCTCACAGAAAAAGGGAATAATTCAAGAGTACAACAGAAATTATCAGAAAAGGATGTCTTTAAAGACATAATATGCTGAAAAAAAATAGTAAAAAGTAATCTTTAAAAGATAGGTAATTGTGGAGGATTTGACATGATTATTCTACTTTTCTGTTGGCGATGTGTTGGCTCGTGGCAGTGAGCAGGATTGCAATCTGAAGTCAGATCTGTCTTCATTTTCACGTAATTACACAGCTCTGCTGCAACTATTCCAAACCAACACAGCCAACACAGCTTTGCATGACTCAGCGCAGTTATGATACAGTTTGAGGAAACAGCATCAAGCAGCTGCCTCAAATCCAAGAACTGAAAGTCTTTTTGCTGACAGACAAAGGAGTGAGGCCACAAAAGGCTAAATGCCTTGCTTGGAGCATAGCCAAGGGAAGGCTGGGGTATGGCTGGGACTCTGGGCTCCTCTTCTATTCAGTTTCAGAGTTCCTTCCCCAGACGCTCCTAGTCCACAGCAAGTTAAAACTCAGGGCCCTGCAGCATTATGTGGTAGAAAACAGCAGCCACTTAGAAAGACATAAGTTCAAATCCTGCATAAGTAGGTACTTATGCAAATTTAGGCAAATCATTCAACTTCTTTGAGCCTCAGTTTCATCAACTGGGAAGTAAGGATAATAATGCACCTGCTTTGTTGGGTTGGCATGAGGATTAGAGATAATGTAGGCATATTTGCAGTAGGTAAGGCACTTGGCCTATAGTAGCTGCTCAATAAATGGTTACTAAGTTTTAGAATTGAATTGAAAATAGCTCCATGTGAAAGTAACTGCAATCCAAGAATTTTGTAAATTGTGGGGTAAAAGGATTGCAGTATACCCAATGTTTGGTCAACTGCATACATACAACAAAAAACAGCCCTGACATTTGAACAGCAACTCAGTATTTTATAAAGCATCTCACCCTTACAGAACACCTGCCTTACAAGTTAGGAGACTGATCCCTGAGAAAGTAACATCCCTGTGTTCAACAAGCAGCAGATACCAGCTCCCCCACCTCTAGTCTCCTAGCTCAGGTCCTCCCTCTGTACCACAAAACTCCCTGATGACTCTCAGCTGAGGGACAATGAGATGTGTGCACACATATCACACATGCCCCGTGGAGAAGCTGGCCCAGCCCACCAGCCGGGCTATCAGGCTGACCTGGGCTTGGGTGTCTACCTCCATTACTTGGTATGTGAGCGATCTTGCAAAGTTAGATCTTTGTGCCTCTGTTTCCTCATCTGTAAAATGGAGATGATTCTGACAGCCTCTACTTCATAGTATTGTGGCCATCGGTATATGAGATGGTGCACGTGAAAAGCATGCAGTAAGCACTCCAGAAATGTCGACCAAGATCTCTATGCATGGAACGTGAGTCATACCCACCTAGTGTGAAGGGCTCTCTGTCAAACGGAGCCAACGAGCGATCCAGGGGAGGTTTTGTGCTTCTGTCTATGGAAGGAGGTGGCACTGGAAAGGAAAAAGACTGACATCAATTAAAAGAAGGTGGCAGCTGCTGCGGGTGGGCTGGGGTAGGGCGGGCTGGTGGGCAAGAGAGAGCAGCCCTGGCACTCACGCTTTGCCGTTTTGTGGTTTCTGCCTCTGCTAGGCTCTTCGTGGTTGGGCTGGAGTGGGGGCAGTGGCTACATAAGAAAAGATGCAAATGTTAGGAAGCACGTGCCATGCATAAGCAAGACCCCGTGGTTCTGCTTTCCAAACTATGTCTGGATCCTCTCACTTTTCTCCATCTTCATCTCCATCTCCTCCGCCCACTCATAGCCAGCTCCATTTCTGAACGACTGAGGTGGCCTCCTGATGAGCTCCCTGTTCTACTCTCTCTTATGAAAGCTGTTTTCTGCATGCAGCGGAGTGAGTCCGTCATGCCCCTGATGAACCCTCCAGGGGCTCCTATCACATCAGGAACAAAATAAAAACTCACTGTGGCCTGCAAGGCCCTGCCTGGGCTGGCGCCTGTCCACACTCCCAGCCCTTTCATGTCCCCTGTCCGGTGCCCACCACGGGGTCTTCTCTTAGTTCCTGGAAAATCTCAAGCTCAGAATGTTCTTCTCCCAGCTCTTCTCACAACTGGCTCATTCTGCCCCAGCCCCTTGTCACCTTGCCACCCACCATCCTGTTGCCTGGTCTTCTGCCTCCCTGACCCCACACGGCTCCTCAGATCATCTCATTCATACAGCTGTTTACCGGCTGGTGACGTGTCTCCCCCAACCCCAGGGGAAGCTTTATGAAACAGGGACTTCATTTGTCTTGCTCACACTCTATCCCGGCACCCAAAACACTGCTTGGTGCCGGGATAGAGTGATGGAATGATTGAATCCCACATCCCAGGAGTGGAGGTGGAGGTCTTCAGATTTCAAAAGCAAAATGCATTTTATAGGTACACTTGGGAAGAGAACACATTGCCAGCTATCCTAGCGACTCCTTAACCTGAGCTCCTCGGGGTCGCTCTGGGAATCTACTAGATCCCCGGGAGCTGGACTGTGTGCTTGAAGAAAGAGGAAAGGGGGCTTTGCCGCCTCCCGCTCCCTGGGATCCTTGGCTCCTTGTCTTGTACACCCTGGTCTGGAGGCCTCTGTCCCCAGAAGTTCAGGTGTTGGCCAGCAGGTGGCGCAAGTCCCTCTGCAGGAAAGGGAGGCCCAGGCCCCCCGCCGTGCCAGGAGGTGCAGGGACTTGTCTGTTTCACAGTTTTCACTTCTGTCCGAGCAATGGCACAGTGGACATTAGAAGGGGAGCTTTTATTGCACAAGGAGTTGATATGTTTATGGTACAAAGAAAATACCAGTAAGCATAATGACATAGATTGACATCGCCAGTATTTCTCCCAGAAAAAGAAACACTGAGCAGTACTTGGGTATGCGTTTTCTCAGCCTCGATACACTGTTTTCTTACAAAATTAGAGTGAGATAAAGGTGTCTGTGGTTGTCTTTTCTCTCTGACAGAGGAAGTGACTGGAGTGGACAGAAAGCACTGGACAAGGCAGGAGGAGGCTGCCTACCGAGTGGTTCCTGCCGGCCGGCGGGGGAGGCAGGGCGGCCATGGGTCTCTGCGGGGGCGCGGGCGGCTGCTGGGGGCCCTTCCCGGATGGGGGCCGGTCTGTGGAAATGGGAGAATATTGCGGTGAGAGAGTGTCGCCACGCTCAGGGGCCAGTGTGACCCCCGGCCACGGGAGACCCAGCCTGGGTTCCACGGGGGCTGCGGAGTCCTCGGCCCCTCCCCGCCCCTCTTTCTGTCCCAGTGTGTGTCACTCTCCTCATACACAGGAGCAGCTCTCATCCCCCCACCCACAGGATTAGGTCTTTATCACAGATTTTGCCAGTCACAAAGGCCCCTTTGTCGTTAGCTCAGCCAGAACCAGGAGGGAGTGTTCTCAGACAAAATTGCAAAGAAGTAAACGCACATGTGACTCCGTGTGCACAGACACACAAAGGCACACGTGTGCACGTGTGTGCACACACCTGCACGCGCAGAGACACGTGCGTGCACACAAGCACACGGGCACACCCACTGCCCGGGCAGGGTTAAGCCGTCACCGCTTGTGAGGATCCTAGTCTGGGTCCCTTCCTTCCCCTCCCAAATGCTCTGGCACTTCCTCCTTTAGCTCACCTCTTCCCACAGGGGGAGAAGCTGGTCACCAGCTCCTGTTTCTAAATCACAGGCTCTTAACGGGGACCTGGGCTTGCCTTGGAGCGAAACTCGCGCTACTCCCACTGCCCCAGAAGTGTCCCTAGGCCAGGCTGACAGGCTGGCAGTGTCCTACGCCTTTGCCAGAGAAAGGCCAGAGTGAGACTGTTAGGAGAGAGCGGGAGTCAGTGAGGGCCTCCTCATGGTCGTGCCCTGGGTGCTCTCTCACTCACCCGAGTCCCAGCCTGGGGGGGGGGCGTGGTCCTTCCCCAGAGAAGGGGCTCAGAGCAAGGGCCAGCCGGGCTAACCTCGCCCCACTCCCCACGCTGGCCGTCTCTCAGCTCCTCTAACATGCCGTGCTCCTTCCAGCCCCAGGGCCTTTGCACGTCCATTTCTACTGTTTCAAATGCTCCTCCCTTACCACGTCCATCTCCACTCAGCCCCCTTCTACTCATCCTTTAATATCAGCTTACTATCACAGCTTCTTATGGCGAGTGAGCCCAGAGCAGGCACACACTCTAGCCTCGTCTCCTGCACTTGTCTTCCCGACTCTGCATCATCCTTTAATTACATAATTTTGGGACTCATTTGTTTGACGCTGCCTCACCCACTGGACTACGAATCCTTGGAGCGAGGACTGTCCTGTTCACTCTGTGTCTTTGCAACTGGCACATGCAAGGTGCTTAGCAGCTTCGTTCCCCATTTCTTCTCTGACCTCCACTTCCCCATACAAGACACAGGCCTTATCACATGGTCCTTATCACACAGGGTGCTTAAAAGCACACAGGAGATGTTGACGCAGTGTTATCAAAGGGCTTTAAAATGAAACAGAGCTGTGCAGCACAGAGGATTAAATGGTATCAGTTTTTTCAGTATTGATCATCAACTTCCAGCTCCCACCTGCACTTGTACGATGCAAGTGTGCATGTGTTTGTTTTCTGTCGCCACCACTACATGAATGTGGCCCCCGAGACAGATAGAAATCTTAAACACCGTCTGATTTTTGTTAAAGTTGTAGTCAACCCCCCTTGCTGTCTTTCTGTTTACTCTGACAGTCTCTAGGTGGTAGTGCCAAGTAACTATGATTTGGCCAAAGGTGGGAGGAACAGGAAAGTGCTCTTGAGTACCCGGGCAAACCACAGAATGAGCTGTAACTGCCACATGCCTTCAAGTGGCAGCTCAGTGCTACGAGCGACCACAGGCAACGGTTTGTTTGCAGTGTTAGCAATCCCCAAGCAAGCCTACGTGGGCTTCACTATCATCACCCCATTTCACAGATGAGGACGTTGAGGCCCAGAGAGATGGAGTCACTTGTCTAAAGCCACACGGCTGTTCAGAAGCCGAGCTGCCGTCAGCACCCAGAGCTTTCTGCTACCTGGGCGAGCTGGGGCATCGGCCTCCGGTGCCGCAGTGCGGAGCTCAGCTGCCGGCTGCGGGCTGGCAGGGCCGAGCACCGGGAGGCGGGCCTTACCGATGTACATGGAGCTGGTGTTGGGGAAGGGCTTCGCCGGCAGGATGGAGCTCTGCAGAGCTTCCTCGTCGTTGGAGGGTGGCGGCTCATAGTCGGCGTCATCTTCCACGGGTGCCTCTTCCTCCTCATTGGGGGACTCGTAGTCACCGTCGTCCTCCCCATCCTGATCGTCATTGGGACTTTCATAGTCATCTTCTTCCTGCCAACACAGGGACGGGGACAGGGCAGTTTGCAGAGGCTCCAGGGCACTCCTCGTGCCTGTGTCTGCTCTCCCCACTCCAAGCCTCACTTTGGCACGCTCCGGGGGACAGGTAGCCTAGGGCGGTCACTCCCATCTTATAGACGAGGGACACACACTATCACACAGTCTGGAAGTCATGGACTTGGGGCCTCAGTCATTTACACCTTTTTTGCACAACAGGAAGAGAGAAGAGACGGGGAGGGCGCTGGAATAGGGACTCAGAATCAGGCTCTCTCTTGAGTAAACCCCTTTTTTACTCCAGGCATCACCGAGAGAAAGACCAAACGCCTGGGGCGCTTGTGATGATGCGAGTTAATTGTCATTTCTGTTCTTAGTGTGCCTGTGCTCAGAAAATTTCTTCTCATTATAACCCGGTGCAGCACTGAAGGCCCAGCTAATGGGGGAAGCCAGATAAACAAAGCCCGTTAATTGGAAGGAGATTAGGTCGTGTCTGGGAGGGGACAGTCAAGGGCTGTGCTGTCCTATTTGCTGAGAGCTGAGTGTATGGGAATGACATCTTAGTATTCATGAAACCTGGCTCTGGGTTTGAAGCTACTCTCTTGGAAACAAAAGCTCTCTAAATTTGAGCTGTTTATGTATTTCATTTTCGCTTCTTCCTGGGGCTCGGGGAAAGTAAGCCATAGGTTCTGGGTGCCTGCCTTTGAAGCCGCCCATGAAAGTAACAGTCACGGTGCTCACTTCCCAAGCAGAGGCCACACCACTGGCCACCGAGCGAGGAACACTCTTCACTGTCTTGCCAGTGGGTACGTGAACCAACCCAGAGCTCTACGGTCAAGGGCAGTATGGAAAGAAGCAATGGGAGGTTGCAACTTTTCCAGGAAAGAGAGGTACCAATATCCTCAACATCTTGACAGCTTTGACAAATGGCTTAAGGAAGACTGTATTTAAGTTGCTCAGTTGAAAGATTCCTGTGTTTATTTTTGAGTTCAGGAATGTTAACAAACAACAAAAAGCAGGAAGGCAAAGTGAGGGTCCAATGCATTCCCAGCTCCAAAACAGACTTTGTCCTGCCCTGTCCGTGTTCTTATAACTCAGGAGCAGGTGGGCCCGGCCCCTGAGGAACAGGACTTTGGAACAGTGGCCTCTGCAGGGAGGTCCACAGACAGGTGGCCTGTCTCCAGCCCCTCCTGGCTCCTGTCCTGCCCAGACCACTTGTTCCTGACTTTACACCAGCCCTGTACCCCATACACCTTTCTCAAACAGCAGACATTTCCTCTCTGCTTCTACAACAATTATTCTCTCCCCATCGTTTGGCTCCTAAATTTGTATGCATGGTTGGGTTGCTAATCATATTCTGCCATACGTGTGTTAAAGTCAATTAAAGTGGAGGCCAGGCCCGAGGAACCCTGAGCAGACAAAACTGTTCAGGCTCGTAAGTGACCTAAACCTTGCTTGGTTTTGCAAACATAAGCAACACTTAAGTTGAGCTCTTTCTTATAAAAGAAAAACAACTTATAAGTTCAAGCAATCAGAAGTAGCCAACAAACATAATTTTATACCTAGGAACTTTCCAGCAAGATAGACCAAATTAGACAACTTTATAACTATAACCAATCAAGTATTTTCTTTGTATTACTTCTGCATTCACAGGGGTACCACTCCTGGTTTGGTGCTGCCTGACTTATGAATTGTCATTTGTGTAAATAAACTCTTTACAATTGTCCTGTGCCTCAGTGTACCTTTTAAATATGTGTTATGCATGGCGTAAAGTGCTTATTTGACTGGCTGCTGGATGTCCACCCACCTCCCTGTGTCCCATGTGAAGAGCTGGGCACCTAATGGACCCACTGAGCTTCCAGCCACCAGCGAATGGAAGCAAACCCTCCCTGAGCAGAGGGACGGGACAGCGCCCCTGGGCTGGGCACGAGAGGGCTGCGTGGCGAGGATTCAGCTCTGAGAGAAAACAGAACCATTTTGGGGGAAAGTCTGTTCTATTTTCCCTGCATACAAAATACATCTGTCATATTTCTTTGCTTTCATGTAGAAAGCACAAACTTGGCTAAACATTATTTTTTGTTTTCAAGTTAAACGCTTTCTTTTACTAGAATCCCAGTAGGACAAGGGACATTTTGTTCCTGCTTTCTAAAGGCACCGGAGGCAGCCGCTTACCAGGAAGACTGCTCGACCGAGGGTCGGGCGAGCTGGGTGGCAGTTCTGCCTGGGACTAGCTGTGTGGCTCTACTAAGTCACATTCTCCCGTGGGCTCAGCGGCTTCATGTGTGAACTGGACAGACTGGACTACGATCCCTACTAGAGCCCTTAGCCCCAGACTAGCTGCACACGTGGTGACTGTACATGTAAGGACATAGAGAATCCATCCGACTCTCAAAGGGGTCACTGGGACCCTTCAAATGTAAAACCCAATTGGATTGGACCCTCCCTGAGGTCTTTTCAAATCCTTTTCCTCCTGTGCTACCAGTGGGGACTTAAGTCCACAAGAAAAGCTCCTTTAGAGTGGATTTCCAGCCGAGTTCATTTTTGGAGCTAGGCGGGGGACAGGGAAGGGACCTGCGTGGGGTGGGTAACAATGGATAACTGCACGGTCAGCAAACTACGGCCCAGGGGCCCAGCCCTGCCCTACCCTCTGCTTCCGTACATAGAGGGTGATGGGCACATAGCCACACCCATCTGTTAGCTCATCCACCGCGGCTGCTTTTGTGCGGGTGGCAGAGTTTAGTTGAGACAGAGGCTGCGTGGCACCCAAAGCCGAAAATACTTCCTGCCAGGCCCTTTGCAGAACACCCTTTCTGAGCCCTGGAGGGGTGGGCTGGCATGTTGGTAGAGGCCTTGCTCCATGTGGCTTTGTGCTGGGACCTTATGACAAGGCCACCCTGGATGCTGCTGTCAGGTGGAGCATCAGCCCCCTCCATACTCACAAAGGACGACCAGCCGCCATTGTCCTCTTCATGGCTCTCTGCGGAAGGAAACGACACCAGCGTCAGCACCGAAGGACGCAGCTACTGCGCCTGCGCCCTCCCCACCTGTGCTCCAGCCCAGGCCTGCCTCCTCCTCCCCCACACCTGGGGCTCAGCCACCTGCTGTCAGCCCCCAGGAGTCTCCCGGAGAACCAGCGGGCGGCAGTGGTTCCCCACCTTTCCCGTGGTGACAGTCACCTAGGAGTGCTTTAAAATAGGCAGACACTTGAGGCCCCTTTCCTAGAGCTTCTCATTCAGCAGGCCTGGGCGAGGCCCAGCAATCTGCAGGTTAACACTAAGTACAACTGAGCCACTGAAAAACTGCTTTGAAGGCTCAGACTCGGCCCCTCCCACAGGCGCGGACACAGTGAGAAGGCACGGTGGGGCCCAGGAAGCCCCACCAGACAGAAAACCTGCTGGCACCTTCCCCGCGGACTTCCCAGCCTCCAGAGCTGGGAGAAATAAACTGTTGTTTGCAAAAAATAAAGAAAAGGCCCAGAAACAGGGGAACGGGCCCACATCAGGCGCTCGGTCAAAGGCTGGGCCCTTCTGCCCCATGCAGCTCCCAGACCCTCACTGTGTCACTGTGTCTCTGCAGACGTCCCAGCAGAGCAAGAGCTCTAAGCCGGGTGCCTGCACAGTGACAGCTCTCCTGCCCTCCATCCGGACCCGAGCCCTTTCCTGGGTAAGAACAGGCTGGCGGGCAAATGAGTAAGGTCACCTGCATGACACCCCAAGGAGCCCTAGGCACCTGACAGGCAGGAGAACTGAAGTGCCTGTCACCTCCTAAAGTAATCACCTCTCAGCCCCAGCCTTTACCTGTCTCTTCAGGAAACCGCTGGACTTGGGGTCTGCGAAGGCAAAAAGCATAGCGTTAATGGTCCCACTGATTTAAGGGGATCTCCCTCTTTCCTCCATCTAGTCCCGTGAGAGGAGTCCCCAGTGCAGGGCGTGTCTCACTGCCCATGAACGACTTGTCCTTGTTGCTTGGCAACTGGGGCTAGGATGCTCCAAAGAAGATTCTGGAAACCACAAAAGCCACATTGGTGGCACAACTGGGAGCATGATGGTCTAGAGGAAGTTCCCCTGACACACGGGCCCTGGGGCAGGATGCAGGGCAGGGAGAGGGAACCCTGCCCTCCTTGGGCACCACGTCCGAGATCCCTGGGACTCAGGAACCACTGCAGGCTCAACATGACTTTTTTAAAATTTTTTGGTTTTCTTCCCGGGGGGCCCGGGGCCCCCCCCTTCCTTTGGTTTTGAGGTTGTTCTTCTTTTTTTGTTTTTTTTTGTTTTTTTGCTTTACTTTCTTGGGATTCTTTTAGGTTATGGGGCCGGTTCCGGGGGGAGGCCCTTTTCTTTTTGTTTTCAACTTTCCCCTTGGGCCTTGAGTTTTCTTGTTTTTTGGGCCTTCGGGCCCTTTGGGTTGTTTTTGGCCGGCTTCTTTTCGTTCCTTTTGTTGGGGTTCTTTTGTTCTTCCTTTTTCCCCCGTTTTCCCGGCCGGCCCCTTCCTTCTTTCCCGGGAGGCTTTTTTTCCCCTTGCGGTTTTTTCGGGTTGGGCTTTTTGCTTTTGGTTCGGGGTTTTTCTTAAAGACTTGTCAGCTCACAGGTGGCTTCCCCTCCTCTGAAACACAGGAGCCTCAGGATCTGGAGACTATAATTGTGTATTTTATTGTATTATTCCCGGGGCTGAGGTCCCCTGACTCTTGCATGAGCATCCTCATGGTGACATCTTGCTCCCAAGAATCTTCAAACCATCTCCCAGACCTAGAGGAATCAGCAACTTGTTGCATATTTCTGATTACAACCTCTAGTAGGCTGTTCTTTGACTGTTTTCTTCTTCTATTATCCCCTCCCTGACTCCTACTCAGTGACATAGAGTCTTTTAAAAACTTGGAGAAGAATCCCCTATAAAGGCATAGGCTGTAGAGTGAGAGACCCCCTGAGTCACCCATGCCCCTGATGCCACCTTGGCCAGGACACTTGAAGATACCCTTAGTCCTCAGGTACCTCCATGCCTGAAATTGCAAATCCTCAAACCCCAGGACAGGGAGGGCTTGTCGTCAGGACCACATCTGCAGCATGCACTAGCGACAAGCGTCCCGTCCACTCTCAGCCCTCCAGGACACGAGACTCAGGCCTTCTGAGCACCCACTGATGAGACCAGCAGACCCACATGAGTAACCCGCCGGGCTCCATGTTTCCTGGGGATTTGGGGCACCTCAGAGATTATCTAGTCCACCTTCATTGTACAGGGGAGGGGACACAGGCCCAGACAAGAGAGGGGATTCACCCACAGCCATGGCGGGTCGGTGATGAAGACTGCCCGTCTCCCCGCAGCACACGCCAGCCCCGCAATCCAGCGCCCCTCAGTGCACCACCTCCCAGTGCTCATTCCCTGCATGCCGCAGCCTCCCCGGGAGCAGGCACGGTTGGGTCCCCACCTCGCCCATCTATGAGAATGACTCGTGGTCTATGTTTGCTTAACGATCTTCTTAAGGATCATCTCAAGGTAACAAGTTTGAGCTCAAACAAACTCACTGTTAGCAAAGACAGTCCTCAGCATCTGCCACATCCAGCTTCCTTCATCATTCCCCGGCCCCCACTCTCCCACTTCTCCCAGGGACCCGGGCTCCAACCCTCCTGCCTCATCAGAATGAAAGGATGAATGAATTCCCACAACTACGCTGGGGACTTACGGGGACAGAGAAGGAGAAAGGGCAATGTTTAATCCCCTGTAATAATGTCATTGTTGAAATTTCACACTTCTGTGACTGCCCAGAGATGTTTAAAGCAGGGGTGGGGACCTCCTGGCCACCTTCTGATCATGCCATCAGAATGCTCGAGATGTGGTTCTATTTGGGCTCCCTTAAGTAGTTGTTTGAGAAGATTCGTGGCATGCTAGATGGAAGGTGCCCCTACAGAGCGGACAGGGGAGCCCTTTAGTGTCCTGCATCCTGGCCATGTCACGTGGCCACTGTTCATTCAACAGTATGCATTAAGGGCCTTCTATGTGCCAGGGCCTCTGCTGGGTGCTCAGGCTACTTCGATGAAGAAAAGGGACCCAAGGTCTCTGCTCTCCAGGAGACTGTGTGCTAGTGGAGAGAGATCTTTAAGGAGGTGAGATTAGAAGTTAAGTCTACACCGTGTATATCCATGCACAATGGTGGTGAGGCTGGGGACGGGGATGGCAGTGCAGGGTGGGGTGCAGTTGCCATTGAAAATGGTCAGACCTCAATGAGAACGTGACATTTCAGTAATGACTTGCGGGAGGGGGGCTGAACCGCACCCCAGCGCCCCGTCCCACGCATCTTGGCTGGCCCTGACGAGTTCACAACGCTGCTCTGGATGTTGAAAGGACCCCTGCTCTCTGCGGTGTCACCTCCTCCCAGTATCTCTGACAGCCAGGCTGGAGGCCGCGGGGGCTCTACCCGGGTAAGGAAGGAAATGCCAAACCGCAGGCCTCAGCAGACGAGCGGCAGCGAGCTGGGAGCGGGCAGCACGGGGCCTGCAGTTGGCTTGCAACCAAGCTCCCAGGGGCCTCCTCCTTCAGAGGCTTCAGAGAACACCTTCCAAGCCGGCAAGACCACTGCCAGGGGCTGGCAGACACGGGGCCATGCTGGCTGGCGGGCAAGGCAGGAAGACGGTTGCTACGATGGCCACGTGCAAACCTTCAAAGTTGCACCCTACCCGCAGAGGACCAAGTGACAGTGAGTGGCTGGAGGCGACTCATCCTCCCTCTACCACATAAACTCCAGGCTTCACCCAGGACCAGAGAAGGAGGTGGAGAGGGCCAGGCAGCTGTGCATGGTAGTTCTCTCTGATACCCTTTGTTTGAGGCACGAGCTGGCCCTGAAATGGGCTGGACCTGCAACAGGAGGAAGTCAGGCCATTGCAGAAAGGTGACGGCCTGGGTTCCAGCCCAGGTGCATCCCTAACTCGCTGCATGATGGGGCCAGTCTTCATCCTCTCAGTCTAAAGACCCTCCCGGTGCTGTACAACTTGTGGAACGTGTAGGCACAGAGAGTCTGACTGCAATGTCCTGCCCCAAGGGTGGTGCCTGCTGTGTGACCTCAGACAGGGCAGGTGCCCTCCCCAGTTCTCAGTCCCTCATCAGCACAATAAGGGGGTTGGGCCCGACTAGGGAATCCCCGACAGGCCTGATCGTCGGGACTGCCTGGGCGCACCTGTTACGCGCGCGGGTGAGCAGGCCCCCCTGGACCTAACCAACCAGACACTCCAGGGAGACGCCCGGGCAGCAGTAACGGCGCCGGCCCCCAGGCGAGTTTTATGATCACAAAAGTTTTATGATGAATAAATCCAGTTATTCTTGGCACTGGTGAAATTGTGTTTTAAAAAAAGAGGAGGAGGCTGGGCATGGTGGCTCATGCCTGTAACCCTAGCACTCTGGGAGGCTGAGGCAGGAGGATCGTTTGAGCTCAGGATTTTGAGACCAGCCTGAGCAGGAGTGAGACCCTATCTCTATTTTAAAAAATAGAAAAAAATTAGCTGGACACCTAAAAAATACATATATATGTATGTGTATATATAGACATACATGTATATATACATACATACATGTATACGTATATATATATATATACACACATATATACACATACATATATATATAAATTAGCAGGGCATGGTGGCGCATGCCTGTAGTCCCAGCTACTCGGGAGGCTGAGGCAGGAGGATCGCTTGAACCCAGGAGTCTGAAGTTGCTGTGAGCAAGGCTGAGGCCATGGCACTCTAGCCCAGGCAACAGAATGAGACTCTGTCTCAAAAAAAAAAAAAAGAGGAGGAGGAGGAGAGCCAGAAGGAGAAGGAACTTTGTAACGATGAAGGAGTGAGCCAGGGAGTGGGGAGAGTAGAGGCTCTCGGTCGGTCTTTGATGGAGCCCTCAGTTCTGCCTGTGCTCCAACAACTGCACTGGTGGGTCTTGAAGTCAACTCTGCTGATCACACAAGAAGTAAGAAAGAAAGGAACTAGAAAAGAAAGGCGCTGGCAGGCAAGCAGGAAGGCAGGAAGGAAGGGAGAGAGGGAGGGAAGGATGGAAGGGGTAGAGAATAGAAATATCAGAGCACACAGCACACAGTAAGAGTAGGTACTATCTCATGAAAATTCTGTCTTGGTTTCCTACATTGTCGCTGTGTAGTCGTATAGTTGTGTAGTTGGCTTATGATGCAAAATGTATTTCTTACACAGCTTGCATGGTGAGAGCTTTGGACCAACTACCCTCCTCACCCTGGCACAGGGCCTTCCCCGTTGCTCCCTTGACTCAGACTCCAGACTGCCTGCCGGCCTTCCCAGACCAAGGGCTCCAGGCCCTGTGGCCGGGTGCACCTGCCCCTCCCCCAGCGCTGTCTCTCCAGCTCTGTGTGACTGCCTGTCTGGGCTCTGTGGTCACTTTTGTCCACCCCTCCTCCCTGCACACATTCCCACTTTCAGCTGGCCCTGGCTCTGCGCGCCTTACTCCTTTCTGTCTTTAAAGACCAATCTCCTTGAGCCAAACCTTCCAAACTCCGTCTTCCTCACCCGAGAAGCCAGGGAGCGGCCCAGATGTCTTAAGACTCAGGAGGGGGCCTTCCGTCATCACCTTTGGCCTCAGCAGAGGACCCATGGGGGGGTGGGAAGTAATCACTTAGGGGCACAGCGTGGCCTCCCCACTCTTGACCCCTTTCCCCACCCCGGCAATCTTGCATGTCATGTTTTCCTTGAGCCTCACAATCGCTTGCATGGTAGACAAGTATAATTATTCCCATTTTTACCAGTGAGGGAGGTGAGGACCTGAAGGGGGTCAGATGTCAAAGGTCGCGTGACCAGTGTTACTGGGGAGCTGAGCCGCCAAACCGAGTTTTCTGGGCTTGCACT